ATTTCAGCTCTTGCGGTATCAGATATCTATACTTTTCTCATTAAACACAGCGTGCCGTCCATGCAGTTATTGGATGATAGATACGTATAACTTTTCTGCTCTAAAGGAGGATAATAAAAAGTAGGTTTACTATTAATTACTTAAAAATGTATTATTTATTTACAAAAAGCATACTAAAATTCAAAATAAATATACATAGTGTGCTAATACGTGAATAGCTAATATTTTAAATTTCGCTTTCTTCGGATTCATCGCCATCGTACTCATTATCGCTGTCATTATCACTGACAGCGATGTCGACCCGTGAAAGATCTTCGTCAGGATCTGTAAACATATATAATAATAATTTATTAAAAGATATAGATGATAATAGTATATAAACATTTAACACGCAAGAGCAAAATTTTAATTCAAATCTGATTATAAATTACAAAAAAAAGGTGACATGCTATCCAAAATTGTTACAAATATAACTCAGTTTTATTTTTAAATTAAAATTGTATGATAAAATTAAACAGAAAATAATCAAAAATTGAAACTGACAAATAATGAAATGAGAGAAAAATATATCAGTATTATTCTAACCTTCAGTACTTTTTTGGTCATCGCCATCATCGATAGTTATATCACCAAGGGTAGCGGGTAGCTGGTCACCCTCGAACCATTTAAAATTGAATTTTCCCTCATCTTCTTCCCATCCAAAATCAGTCGGATGTAATGCCGTTGGAACCTGAAGATGAGCATGTGCCCAAATATTTGCTATGTATGTTGTCCGCAGCAAATGTTGGTGCAGCTCAATTTTGCAGGGAGGCAGAGCTGATCCGTCGATATTATTCTTCGGTAACCGGAATATGTCATCGTTTTGTAAAACCTTGTACGTCTTCAAAAATGTTGCAACTCGTGCTTCATTGACTTTGTTGATTTTTTTGAATCCATACATACGACAAACATATTCTTCTATAATATCAAACGTATTCTGCAACTCGTCGTCAGGTGCGTTGCTTAGTTTGATAAAACTATCGATAAAACGTTCTGAGTTTTGTAAAATTTTATACGGCCGGCTTTTTCCTTTCTTGAAAAATGACGGATTATAGTCGCAACCCGTCAATGCATGGAAAGCCGGCAGCGCGGCGCTTAATTTAGGGCCCAACGTTTCATACAACTTGCTAATGTTAATAAAGCGCTGATTATTACCGACTCCGGCTTCCATTGAAACTTTAACATCAGCGTTACTTAAGGCACTCATGTTAGAAAGCATTATAATGGCCACGTCAGTATCCGAGCATCTTATCGTGACATGTGCGTCGTAATCTATTTGACAGACGTGGAAAACTATCTTCGTATCCGCTTCTTCATGCGCTGGGCAGCTTAATAAAACATCGTGTGTCCTTTCTACATGGCCATTATTTACTTTATATTTATAGCACTGATCATAATTAATATAAATAGTTTTATTGCCAATGAAAGGTGCTGCGTGATCAAGTGTCCAGTGCTGTATAATAAAATTCACTAACGCCTCTTTAAAATTAGCGTTTTTCAAGTCGTTACTGAAATCAGAAGAACGTATTTGATCTGGTCCCTCGATGTGGAATTGTGTGACTTGCATTCCTCTTAAAGAATGTTCATTATCTTTGATTGAAGGAAAAATGTACCTATCAAAGGCGATTACTACAACTTCCGCATTATTAGAACAAAACATACTTAAAATTTTAGTAGATATGTTTCCGTAAGTAGCTGGAATTTCCCTCATCAAATGAAGCATAAAAAATCCATCGAACACCTTCACGTTAGTATGCTCCGGAGTATGCGGCTCAATCTGCTGCTCGAGTACTTTTAATAGAGCTGCCTTATTAGTTTTGCAAATAGATCCATCCATGTGACACATTGATAATGGCACTGGCGTTAGAGGATATATTAAAACTTTATCTATATCTAGAGATTTTTGCAAAGATATGCATAAAAATTGGCCAAACAAGTCACGTTGCATACGCAGTTCAACAACTTTTCCTGACACTGTCATTTTCTTTTTTTGCATATTGTCTGTAAAATTAAGCACTTTATTTTGTTTTATGGGTTTTTCAAATCTTTTTTCATCTTCTGCACATTGTGTAATAAAATTTTCTCGTTGTTCATTACCCATTGTTTCGACATTAAGTAAGAATCTTTCGAAATTTCTTGTACCGTTTGACCTGTCGAAATATTAAATAAATAATTGTTATCTAAATCAGCAGCAAACGGATTAATGTTTTGTTTAATATTATCAATAAAATTACTAAGCTGCTTAGAATTTTTAGTTATTCTGCTCGGCTGCAAGTCGGCAGTGATATCCTGAACTTTTCTCAGCTCTGTCTGCTCCATCGTATGACTTATTATTGTAGATCTTAAAGTGTGACTTTTGCACCAACGCTGTCGAGCAGATATCGAATTTGTCGTGTGACTCACACCTGTAAGCTTATTGGCAGCATCGGCATTTATTGTTTGCTCTAAAGTTAAATCAACGGGTTGTCTTGAGTTTGCTTTGTCAGTTCTCTTCACACCAAATGTTCCCAGTTCTAGATCCTTTTTTAATCCTGGATGAGTTTCATCAACTTTCAGCAGATTATCGTGGTACTTCACTAAGTATCTTGAGTAGTTTTGTTGATTAAAAGCAAAACACAAGTTGGCTATTTTAGGCAAGATAGATATAAAAAGTTGTAAATTCCCACTTCGTATGCTTGCATACAGTGTTAAGTAATAGTCAATAAAACTAACGTACATCATGTAAAATTGTGGAGTTTTGCCATGCTCTCCTTGCAGTGTTTGCTGTTANCATCAGATCTTTCTTCCTTATATTTCAGTAAATATGTTTTCATGTCGTCGCTACATTCAATATTTTCCCGCTTCAAAAATTCTTCGAAATGTAAAATTTGCAGAGCTAATGATATCATTGGATGCAATCGTTTGCACCTATTAAAATGTTTTCCTGCAATATAACTGTTAACAGATCCATTCGCTAGCATTTCCGCGTTGACCATAATGGTCGTAATACCACAGTTTTCAATAAATTTACCAACAGCTCTAAAATAACACATCATTATGTGGAAGGATCCAACATGAATAAATAAGTCGTTGTAACGCGGTTTTCGGTGTTTATTTTTCAACCAGAACCTGTGTAAATATACGCACAAGATGTTC